CGACATCTCACCCTCCCCCCAACCCATTAAAAAAAAAAAACCCGCGATCTTTAAGAAAATTAGAATATTTTGAAATGCAACACTTTTAACGTCGTAATGCTTATTCAAAAGAACTTTAAAAAAACAACAACAAAAAAAAACAAAAAAACCTCCAAAAGTTATTAGGGCGGGGGGTGGTGGTTTCTAAGATTAGCGTCAGCAAACCATGAGTATTGTTTTTCAACCAATGGGCGCTAGCACGTGCCCCGATCCAGCCAATGAGCGAGCAGGAAGGGCAGATGTGTCGCGTGGCTCACACGAGCGCAAGCCGGAAACTAGGTCATTTGGAAATGCAACCAGACGCGCGCGCGTTCTACATCTCAGGGTGTCTGTCCTCAGAAGATCCTTGGATCGCATTGGTCCTCTGTGGTGATAAGAGAAGAGCTCTTTGACAAAGTTTTTTCAAACGTCTGACCTCAATTCGAGCGCGCGTGCAGAGCAGATTTCTTTTCTCTACAGTTTGAAGATTGGAAGAGTACTTTTTGAAAAGCAGCGAAACGAAAAAAAAAAAAGAGTGCGTGCATTGGTGGGATATACTGGGATGACGAAGGAGGGATTGGGGGGGTACATAATATATAACACAGTGAATTTACAGTAAAAGGGACATAAAAGAGTAAATGAATTTCATCAGTGTTTATTCCACAAGCTATTCCCCTTGCATTCAGCTTTTTCTTTTGTATAGAAATGGCGTGATCTCATCCTGATCTTGGTGAAATTAGTTATTTCTCAGCACCACATTCACTTGTGCTATTGCTACTATGACAACTTTGAGTAGCAACTGAATGGCTTTTCCCTGCTCATTAGTAAAATTATCGCAAAACGTCTCGTTGCTTTGCGTTTCTAGTCGGTGTTATTTTCAGAATCTTAGAAAAGGCAATAGAAGGAGGCATGAACTTTGAAAAACAAGATGTTGTCAAGTAATTTATTTTTTGCTGTACCGCTATTTAGTGTGTATATTATTGTTGTTAAGTGTTTTGTTTTTTTTCTTAAAAATCGGTATAGAGTATTAGATCTATACTAATACCCTTTATGAGAAGCCATTCTAACCTTGTTTCATCGAAAAATCGCCTGATTTTGGAGAATCAACATTGGCGATGAAATTTTAAAAAACAAAACAACGTTTGTTCCGTGTTTTGTTCAGCAGTTAATCCAGGTTCTTAATTATTATTCGCCGTATTGTTTGTTTTAGTCGGAATTTTAAGGCACATGGAACACAGCTAGGTCATATAAGTGCCGAAGATTAGAAAAGTTACGGAGAGTAACACAAAGAAAAAGGAGATATAAGCACGATAGGGGTTTGGTAGGGAAAAGAGGAGCGAACCACTCCATGTAACCCACAATTTGTTGCATTGATTGAAAGGGAAGTGTGTTTAGAAGAACGAAGTGTATACAGACCCGGTAACCGGAAACAAAGTCACGAAGTATACAGACCCGGTAGGGGAACTCTTTTGTGATT